GCGTTGACATCCAACTCTTGACATGACATAAAAAAGGTCGGTAACGTTAATCATTACGTTCCGCTGCCACCATCTACTGGCTAACGTTAAACGTAGAAAAATACATAGTTACATACATAAATACATCTGTCGGTTTATAGGCAGGTTACAGGTTTATTGTTGACCACGTAACGTTAATGTTACAGGTTTATCAGGTTACCATTACACTGGGTTTGAGTGAGAGGATAGAGGAATATGTTTATTTATAGTAGACTTAAAAGATGTAATTAGAGACCCAGTGTAATTAAACAATACGGTTGCAGAGGTCAACTTTTAACATTTTTGTCCACTGGCCAAATGGCTAGCCTAGTGAATGTTGACATTTTACCAGCCACTCAATAGATTGCCATTGTTATTTTTGGCTGGTGCGTGCAACATACAGTACGAGCCACTTGCATGATTTACCAGCATTTGGCTGGTAAATGGTGTTAATGGTAGATATCTCTTTTGGAACAGGTCATGTTTTAATATCACCAGTTCAGTATATTTCAGATAATATTGCAGCAATAGTGTTTTAGTTGCAAATGGCACAGAACAAATGTTTACTTTTAAGTACTTTTAACACAGTTTCCCTGCGGGGGATTAATAAAGTATTTGTGATACTGATTTCTTATTCTGAAGTGTTTTGCTTATAAGTTGTTTGCATTTAGCTAAACTGTGATGTTTTTCCTCATATTGCATTGCAATAGCCTGTTTAAAGGAATGGTATGCTCATGACACTCATTTTTAAATAATTATCATCCGATAAAACAGACCAGTCTCTGCCAGTCTTTTTTTTTTTTTTTTTTAATCCGATGACATTATCAGTGATTTTAAACTGATTTAATTACCGAAATAACATCAACACTGTGGGCGGCACCATTTTACCGGACGTGACGTAAACCATGCGTTTGGTTTCGAGGACACGTTGATGTTCATGTTATTTACTGTAGTTACTCTCTTCAAATATGCCTCATTGTATCGCGAAACATTGCCACAATTCTGATAGGAACAATCAACGGAATGCTCGGTTCCATCTGTTGCCAAATAAGCGTAGGAAGTACGTTCGGAGGCAGTGGCTAGCGAAATGTGGCCGGCCCGAACCGAAAGATCCACAGGCGCATGTATGCAGCGAACATTTCAAGTTTCCGGACGACTACTATGAGTATGATAAAACATAACATGGGATTTATTGAACAACCATTACTTAATGGAGATGCAGTACCATCGGTCTTTCTGGTGTCATCACCGACCAGGACACCAGTTCGGCCAGTTGAGAAATCGCCCTCTGCAAGTGTGAAGCGACGGAGGACCAGAAGTAGTGCTCGGAGTAAGAATAAGGTATGTTATAGTGCATTTCCATTGCAGCGGGTAGCCCCATTTAAACGTCCTTTATCGTCCAGGCCAGGCCAGTTTTTGGTGGCCTTTCCATATAGCGTAGTACCGGCTAGTGGGTGTTTTCCCCCAGTTTTTCCGGCCCCATAAAATCGTGGTTCTAGGGCCAGGGACAACGAGGCTGAGTATGATAAACTAGAGAGGGAATCGCTAGCAAGGGTGGTACTACATGCATACATATCTAGTAATCAAAATCATTGTATCTATTAAGTAGTACTAAGTAGGCTCGAACCTGTATGGCTGAATTCCCCCATCCAATCTCTTCATGTTTTCGTGTGTTTACAAAGTGAACGCATGGATGACGTCACGACCATCACGTGACTACTGAAAATGACCAAAATGGCAGCGGCCTGACGGAATATACAGGTTTTGATAAAAAAGAGCTATAAAATCATTATATACCGGGGAATATCGCTGATTTCTTCAGGGTATGGTTTAAACATAATGTTTCACTAAATACTGAAGTTTTGATTAATTATCTAATGAGTGGAGCATTCCTTTAAAGTGATCATATAACAAACAACTAATCAGTACTGATACTGTATGCTAATAGATATAGGAGTGATAATAATACAGTAAATGCTTTGAATTTCTTAGATATAGCTGTGCAGTATTCTTAACAGACTGGATAGCAGCAGACAATAGAAGGCTTATTACAACCAGAAGAGACATGAGACTTTTATTTTTTAGAGACTTGAGACTTGACTTGGACTCGTGACCAAAGACTTGAGACTTGACTTGGACTTGCAAAAAAAGACTTGTGAACATCTCTGCTGTCAGTGTTAATAAGCTAAAAAAAAGACAAGGCGATGTGCCTGCAAGACTTCACTCAGGTAAACAAAACATATTACCCGTGTGCAGCAGCTAACCTGCCTGCGAGCCTTCGCTCAGGTCACATTTACACACGGCGCGGCTGAAGCCGCTAGCACTATTAGCACTAGCAGTATCGCTAGCAGCCACATTGTTTAGGCTGTGAAATATGCTGCACCGTTTTAGATTCAATGAGTGTCTCGTTTGCAAATGCTTCATTAAGTTGCTTGTGTTACCCCCTTTACAAGCAACTAATTGAGTACATAGATTGCACCTTGCACTATCGCCACTACATCTTTTAAAGTGCACCCAGACCTTCGATCGCTTCGCTCTGTCCGCCATGGGACCCGTTTGCAGTGTACATTTCTGCAATTTAATTATTTTAACATGCTTTATTTGGGGGTGGACCTAACCTCCTCTAGCGGGGTCCGGGGGCATGCACCCCCGGAAAGATTTTTTTTTTTTTAATGTTGAAGTTAAATGCATCAATCTGGTGCACTTTGAGCACAAAATGAATTTATGGATACAGCTCTCAACACTCAGATGAAAGGGAGCTGTATACTTTTTCAATAATCCAAACATCTTTTGAATATGATCACAACCAATAACAAATCATTTAAACTGGTTTATTCTTATCTTATGTTACCTAGTTAGCATTCTTTCTTTTTATTTATGCATATTTTACTAATCCCTCCCCTTTTATTTTATTTTTTTTATTGTCCTGTAGTATACATTGGACTGATTTCTTACTTATATTTTTTACAACTAGGCTATATTAAATTGATAAAGGTGTGCTCGATCTCCCTCTATCCCGCTCGCTCACAGAGGCTGTGTGCTCCTCCCTGGCGATGATGGCTTGTGTTAAAAAATTATAATAAACATAGGCCTATTTGTAAAGTGGAGGGACACAAACGGGTTTTCGAAAAGTGTCACGGTTAAAGTCCTTATGAAGTGGTGAGGTGACGCTCCACATTGCTTTTCTTCCCGACTGCAACGCTGTTGTGTGTGCAGGGCCGCCGCTTGCGGACAGGCAAGGCAGGCAACTGCTTGGGGCCCAGTGGGGTGGCACATCTTTAAAACGACATCAGTGTCGTTTTTTTAAAAAAAAAATGTTTTTTAAATTCAACAAATTATACAACAAATACAATTAAACTGACATCCTACATTGTCATAAGCCTTCATCAAATTCAGTTCATCTACAATAGTGGGGGGCCCCATTATTGTAGATGAACTGAATTTGAATGAGTGGGGCAATGCGCAACGTTTGCAATGACAGACAGTAGGAGACCTCCCTAATGGGGCCCCACCTTATCCATGCTCACTCCGGTCAGTGTCGCAAATCGCGTGCATCATTGTTTACAAAATAATCCTGATGACAAGGAAAGGCACTGAAAAATGAAGAGAAATTATCTTTCTGGAAGCGAAAAAAGGAAGAGGAAAAAAGATAAAGATGAGAGAAAAAAACAAGACAGTGGTAAGTAAGTTGAGTAGATAACGAAGAAATACTAAATAACTAAATGTTGCTAGTCTAGGGCAGTGGTTCCCAAACTTTTTGTGCCCAAGGCACACCAAAGGACAAGTACAAATCTCAAGGCACACCTATATTGCAAAATAGCCCTTATAACACGTGTTATCACTCATATCATGTAAAATATCTGTAAATGTGCATAATTATTTACTAATGCAAAATAAAATGTGACAGACAACTATATTACTCATGAAATATCTATTAACGAAATATTTCAGAAATTAATTTGAAACGTTATCAAATTAGGTTTCATCAAAGCAGCAACACACTCATTTAAACCAGACAGGTCACAACATTAAAAATGAGGCAAAGGAAACTCAGCAGAAATTCAGCACAGAGAACTGTCAATGCAAGGAAGCTGCACTGTGGTCCTGAACTACAAATTATAAATGTAACATTTCAGCAATCAGCATTGAAACATGTGCTATTGTAAATATTTTTGCCGACTTACAAATTAGTGAGATACATGTGCCTGTCGGGGGCGCACAGCATTTTTTAATCCTTGGTGGCACTGAGGAGAGGGCCACTCGCAAGTCCTGTTCAACAGAGAGCCGTGACCTCTTGTTGTTCTTCATGTAAACCAGAGTAGATAACGCCAACTCCAGAGATGGGGTCGTTACTAATCTTTTAAAATATATTACATATTACTTTAAAAAAGTAATATATTACACTACTTCGTTACTATCTACATAAAGTAACTCGTTACTTTACTCGTTACTTTACTCGCCGAGCACGTACGAACTGCGCATGCGTGAGTGGCAATAACTTTCCTTACCAGCAGGCGGCGGTATTGTGTATTTGTCATTCAAAACAGGCAACAACCGGAAGACAGAGAAGAAGAACAGACTGCGTGATATAAACAAACAACAAATAGCGTGTGCGGTAGCTTCACCTTAGCATGTGTTCTTTGCAGGTGCTTGTTGAGGTTTGACCACGTGGTGTTTACAGCAGTGGATAACAGCTTCTGGCCTGGACACAGTTTGCACCTCACCGTCACATTCCTGTCTATTCTTCGGACGAACTCAAAATAATGGGCATACCTCCACCCCTCGAAAGTTATTGCTGACTCAGCCATGTTTATGCAGCACTGCACGTGGAGATGTGGACGCACAAGTCGCGCAGATTACGTACATATAAACCTACAAAGTACTGATATAGTAAATTAAAAAATAATTATTTTTGTGTAGTTGTATATTGCAATAATAACGTATGGTTGTCACAAAATCCCACGGCACACCCGGACTTGCCTCACGGCACACCAGTGTGCCGCGGCACACCGTTTGGGAACCACTGGTCTAGGGATAGAGAAACTTGAATTACGTAACTTCCACTAGAATCAAATTATTTATTTATTATTAACTCTGACGTTTAACATGACATGAGTTAACCTAGCAGAACAGTATCTGCTCTGCTGGCCGTGACATTACCGAGTCAAGTCTGCGCAGCCGGGTCGGTACAACGCCGTTAACCTATTAGCTTAGCTTAGCTAGCTGGCTGAAAGAACGTAAAAGCTAGAAATTACAGTTGCTGTTGACGTGTTAGCTTAGCTTAGCTAGCCGGCTGAAATAACGTAAAAGCTAGTAATTACAGTATTAACACGTCTTCATTAATCTTTTTGGCATTGTTACTAAATATAGAGATGTCCCGATCCCCGGATCGGATCGGCCCCCGATACTTGGTTTTAAGGTGGATCGGGATCGGCAGATCCAATTAAATATCATGGCCGATCCATATTTAATATTTCCCATGATTCCGTTGTTTGTTGTTGTTGTTCTTTTGCATCAGCCGCCATTATCGAGTTGGAAAAGTGGAACAGACACATCGTTAGCTAGTTAAAATGTCTGCAGTTTGGCATCATTTTAAAATAACTAGAAGTGAGTCGCCGACTGCGACATGCAAAGTCTGTGGTGTGGAAGTCTCACGAGGTGGTGCTAACAGGGTCTCCTACAACACCACAAACCTAATAAAACATCTTAAAAAGCACCACCCCGACGAACACGCCGCCTACTGTAAAGCGACAGCGTCTGCGACTGATGGACTCATCAACAAACACTGCGGGACAGCTTGAAACGAAAGGATTTACTTCTTCGAGACTCCGAGAGATTTCGCAAGATTACTGAGCTGATTGTGGAGTGCATAGCAGAGGACGACCAGCCAATTTCACTTGTGGAAAACTCCGGTTTTTGTCGTCTAATAAATTATTTGGAGCCGCGCTATGGGATGCCATCCCGCCATTACATTGCTGAAAAAGGCATCCCAGCCCTGCACACCAAGGTGCGTGAACAAGTGCAGCGGCACCTAAAGGAGGCTACCTCAATCGCCCTCACCACTGACCTGTGGAGTTCAGGTGTAGCCCCGATGTCGCTCCTCAGTCTGACCGCCCACTGGATAGACTCCAGTTTTACTTTGCACAATGTGGTGTATGCAAGTGAGCTGCGTGGCTCTCACACACTTCAATGCGTATCCGGAATGCTATAGAAGAGATGCTCGCCAAGTGGGACATCGATAATGACAAGGTGCATGTTATGAGAGACAACGCCGCCAACATGAAGAAGGTAAGCCTTCTTGTTATTGACCACTGATGTTTAGCTACGCATTACCCACGTCAGTAAAGTTCATGCTAATTCCGTCAACAGCATCTTTTAATGAATGGTCATGGGGTAAACTTCCATTTGATGATTTTGACATGATATACTAGATGTATATTAAATGTTCCCTATTCCTAATTATAATTACGTGTGCCCTGGATTTATTTAAAATGATGTCTAGATAACGTGTCTTTTAGACGGCAACCACATCAACAGGCTAGCAGAAAAGTTAGCCTAGCTTGTTGTCAGCTAACTCAAGTCAGCTTAGCCACTAGCACTAGTTGTTATTGCGACAGCAAATAATTAAAACGAAACATTAATATCCTGTTTTATGTCTTATCTAAGACTACAGGCTTTCAATACGTTTGTTAGACTTGGAAGTAGCCTACCGTATTAATGACAAAACAGCTAGTTTTGAGAGGCTACCTATCAGCAGGAAAAATATTCAGTGCAACTTTTGAGATGTTAAAATCTCCGTTGCTACATTGGTTGACCCAAGATACAAAGAAAGGCAAGTCCTGTTTGTTTCAAAACTTATTTTGCGATATATATAATTGCTCAGGCCTAATTAATTCACCATTTGATTATAACATCAAAATAAATGTTCCAAATGTTGTTCTATGACATTGACAACAATAACTTCGATATGCTAAGGGAACGACAAAATATGTTAGGAAACAAATAATTATTTTTAACTAAATTAAATTCTATCCATTTTCAGATTATTCACAAGTCCAGACCACCAGGAGCTTGCCAAGGAGGCTCTCATTAGAGAGGTGGAGATCATGGAGAGAAAGAGGAAGGCTGGCAGTGAGGTGTCTGCAGAAGAGCCTCCAAGAAAGTCACCACGTCGAGGCGGTGTAGGCTGTGCAGCTGCAAACAGCAGCTTTGTCAGTCTATATGACGAGATCTTGGAGGGGAATGTGGTGGAGTCGAGGCCTGTGAGTACGTCAGCAGTCGTCACTCAGGTGGAGGCCTACCTGGCTGAACAAACCATCCCAAGGTCAGATAATCCTCTACACTACTGGCGGGCACATGCTACACAGCGACCCGCACTGGCTGATACAGCCATGAAGTTTCTTTGTGCACCTTGTACATCGGTGGACAGTGAGAGACTGTTTAGTGCAGTGTTGAATGTCCTTGATGAAAAAAGGAACCGGTTGACAGCCGATAAGGTGCAGGTGTTGGTTTTCATAAAAAAAAAAACCTGCACTACACTTTGAAGAAGTCAGTGCAGTAGATTAAGATGGAGGAAATAAGGAACTCTATTACACTGTAAAAATGTTTATGTTTAAGTTTAGTGATTATATGTCTCTGAGATCCCTTAATTATCCACACTGTGAAAAATAATAAGTTCAGTTTACTTGAAAAAAGGGTGGAAACTCGTTGTCTCAAATAAGTAACCAAAACTTTGTGTACGTTATGTTTACTTTATGTGTACAATTAATGCAAATATTTTTAAGTTATGGTTACTTACTTCCAAGAAGTAAAGTTTAGTGAAGCTTACTTGTATTTACTGCTGTTAAATGAGTAACCTTTTGAGTTGTAAAGGGTACTTTATGTTGGATAGTAAAGTTTACCTGCAGAATATTCATACTATAGTTTCTAACTACTGGCGACTTGAACAACCAAAGTCCTATTTAACAGAATAAAGGGAACTGAAAGATCAATTTTTTTTAATTATTATTGCAAAAAAAATGCTCTTATTTGTGATAGTGAGAGAATAAAATCTATTGAGCACAGCTTGGGTGCTTGTCTATTTCTTAATGTATACAAAATTAAATGCTGTTTGCCAACACAAAAAGTGATATCGGAAATCGGTATCGGGAAATATCAGGATCGGATCGGAACCTATATGAAAATATCGGGATCGGAAGCTAAAAAATTAGATCGGGACATCCCTACTGAAATAAACATGGTCTCTGCCATTTCTACATTAATGTTTCACCCGTTGTTTAATGGGACACCAGTAATGGAGTAATTTGGAGGGGGAAATCAGCTAACTTTTTCTGTAGGCTAGTTAACTGATGAAGCTGTGTCCGACTGAGCTAACTGTCAAGCTATGAATGTTAAATTAGGAAATTTAGATGCAAGACATTTGGACAAGTGTACTCTAAATAACTTATTGTTAAGTTAGTGTGCTATGTGTTGAGTGTATTTTATTGTATTTTGCTTCTCTGTAGTGTACTCCTAGTGGTTTTATGATTATACTGAAAACTGTATATTTCAACCTTAGTAGCCATAGTGCAGGCTCCAACACAATCCTCTGTATTGGAACCATGTTCACTTACATTGTCCCTTTCAAATGAAATAGAAATAGTAAACAATGAAGAATAGTGGAAGCTATACCCAAAAACAACATTCGAAAGCTGAATATGAGGAATTTGAATTATATAAAGTGAAAGCATTTTGAATTGTTAACATGTTAGTTATAAGTTTCACTTTATTATCTATCCTCAGGATCCTTTCTTAAGTTTCTGGCAGCAGCAACGGAAAAGGATAAGGTGCCCCCTCCAAATGCTGATGATGGTAAGTTAAGTATTCCACTTTTAATTGATTATACTGTGCATTGCACTCCAAAGATTCCTTGTAACAGGATATTCCCTGTTTCCTTTTTGGTCATAGCAGTTCAGTCTACATCTACCTCCAGTGGGGCATCAACATCTGCCTCCAGTGGGGCGTCAACATCTGCCTCCAGTGGGACAGCAACATCTTCTCATCATGAAGATGACACGTCAACCCCTACCTCCAGCAGCACTACCACGACTACAAAAGGTTTGATCACATCAGACGACCCTGCACAATGGCCAAATGTCCTAAATGATAGTGAATAGTGTGCACTAGTAACAAGAGGACCAATACAAGAAACCGATATAGTCTTTCCGCAGAATACTGAAAAAAACTTCACTTAGATTTACAAAGGAAAACTATTCTGGTTTTAATTGTTCTTTATATTTATATGTGTGATTTATTCGTTTTTGTATGTCTTTTATATTCATATTACTAACTAATAACTAACTTTGAAAATAACAAAAATGCGAAGTTATTAAATAAAAAAACTGTTTACATTTAGCAATTTTTTTGTTGGTGTCAGATTATTTATAACACAATGGTGATGAAAGCTGGTTCGAGGGGCCCCCAGTGAATTTTTGTCGAGGGCCGCCAGAGACCCTAGAATTGGCCCTCTGTGTGTGAGAGAGTTTTACATGTCTTTTAAATTATTCTGGTTTCAGTTGTGTTTGTGTGAGCAGGCTCGGATTGGCAATCGGGAGATTCGGGACTTTTCCCGGTGGGCCGCTGCTATTGGTGGGCTGCTGCCTCCGGTGGGCCGCTGGCTCTGGCATAGGTGAGCCATGGACTTTCACTGCGCCGGTACCGCATCCGCCGCCATAAAAACCCGCCGTTGCGCGGCTCCGGCACAGCGGCGCTGTGAAAGTCCACCGCCGTTGCGAGTCTCCTGCTGTAACAGTCCACTACCGCCTGCGAGGACCCAGGTTCGAAAAAAGTATTTAAAATAATAATAATTTGAAACTGCGGTCAAAGATGTGCGCGTAGTGATGCCCTCGCGTCCGTGCGCCTGTTGGGGAGGGCAGCCGGTCGTCCCGGCGTTAAGCAGACACGCGCGAGTCCACCGAAATGAGCCGTTTGTGATTTCTATGATTTTCGCGTCCCAGACTCCCAGGTACTCCGGCAGCGACCAGAAAACGGATGTCTGCGCGCCGTCTCGAAGGAAAATAAATGTCTCTAAAGTCTCGTCGAGGATCGATTATGGAGGAGGCTGTCTTGAGGAGCCGTAACCGAGGATACACTGATTTAGAGGAGAGAGGAGTCTCTCTGGAGGAGCTATAACCGAGGGTACAAAGATGGAGAGGAGAGAGCTGTCAAAGACTCCTTGTCTTCACTAGCAAATCTTTTATCACAACTAGACTACAAGGAAATAGTGCTACTTGGAGATTTGAACTGGGACTGGTTAACTGCAGTGTCAGAGGATTTTAAAAACCTTTGTATCTCTTTAAATGTTACTCAGATTGTTGACAGTCCTACTCGCCCTAACATTAAGTCCCCTAATAAATCCTCCCTAATTGATCTCATTTGAACTAATGTTCCCCATAAATATTCATCTGTGGGAGTATTTGCAAATGATCTGAGTGTGTTGTAGCCACAATTAGGGACACTAAGGTCCAAAAGGTTAAACCTCGCATTATCATTAAGAGAGACAAAAAACATTTTGTGGAGCAGGGTTTTGTACATGATCTGTTTGGGTTTGATTGGGGTAAAATCGATCTGTGTGCTGATGTAGAAACCGCATGGTCTTATTTTTATCTTGGTTTTATGGAGATCATTGATAGACATGCACCCCTGCGTACATTTAGAGTAAAAGGGACGAGACAATCCTTGGTTTTCTGCTAATCTGTCCAGTCTCCTTCATGAGAGAAACAAGGCCTGGGCAAAGGCTAGGAAATCAGGCTCAGAGGTAGAATGGCTGCATTTTAGGCAGCTAAGAAATAGCTTCACTTCACATATCGAAAGTGCTAAATCAAAGTACTATCTGTCAGTAACCACAAATAATCTGAATAATCCTGGAAAATGTTGGAAAGCCATTAAATCGTTATCCGTAATGAGCTACCTCCGTGCCTTACCACAGCATCTGGCTCTATATCAGACAGAGCTACTATGCTAAATTGCTTTAATGAACATTTTGTGTCCTGTGGTTCTCTTTTTGATTCTGTCACTAACTCTGCTTCTGTGAACACTACAGTATGTGACTCTGAAAAACGTGTCTTGGAAAACCCTTTTAGTTTTACCCCTTTTACTGTTGATGTTGTTCGTGAAGCTTTAACCAAGTTAGATCCTAAGAAACCGGCTGGCCCGGACAACGTAGAACCTTTCTTTTTAAAAGATAGCTGCAGATGTTATTGCTCCACCTCTCACTACTCTTTTTAACCTCTCCCTCAGCAAAAACACAATTCCAAAATTGTGGAAGTCAGCGTATGTCCTGCCTTTGCTAAAAGGAGGGGAGGCCACCTTATGAAATAACTATAGGCCAATCTCTAAGTTGTCAGTTCTGGCTAAGGTTCTTGAATGCTAAGTGAGTGAACAGGTAAAGGTGTTTTTATGTACAAATGACATCCTGTCTAAACATCAGTCAGGCTTCAGAAAGCAACACAGCACCATCACTGCCACAATGAAAGTGGTGAATGATGTGGCGAGTATTTTAGATAATAAGCAGAGTTGTGCAGCTCTATTTATTGACCTTTTCAAAAGCGTTTGACACCGTCGATCATCACATTTTAAAGCAGAGGCTAGCCAGTATAGGCATGTCCAGCCATGCAGTAGGGTGGTTTGTAAACTACCTCTCTGAAAGGTCCCAATGTGTTCATTTTGATGGGCTGTCTTCTGAGTGGTTGAACATTGCAAACAGTTTAGGTGAAAATGTGGATGAAGCTACTTTACATTTTTATGCGGATGATACATTATTCAGACTCAGCTCTCTGAACTAAAGCTTCTTTTAAATGTTGAGAAAACCAACGTAATGCTCTTTTCTAAAGCTAAAAAGACACCAGAGCCTGTTTTAGATATTGTAACTACGCAAGGAATAAAACTCAAAGTGGTTACCTGTTACAAATACCTTGGTATCTGGCTTGATGATTGTCTCACTTTTAAACTTCATGTCAATAACCTGCTTAAAAAGCTGAGGGTTAGGCTAGGTTTTTTCTACAGGAACAAGTCCGGTTTCTCGCTTGAGGCCAGGAAAAGGCTAGTCACTGTGACCTTTTTACCTGTGCTGGACTGGTGATTTGATGTATATGAATGCCCCTGCCAATTTAGAGATATATATATATATATATATATATATATATATATATATATATATATATATATAGCAGCTAGTGCTAAAACAGAAGAAAAAACCCTTTTTCTTTTTTAACTGGAAGTGGAAAGGGGTTGGGCTACATAAGGTGAATTGAGACAACAAAAATACACAATAGGTGGGACTAAGAAAGTTAATATGAAAGTATAAAAACAAAGGCATTAATTAGGGCTCCAAAATGTCGCCCATTTTAATGGTGATTAGATTTTTAAATGCTAACACTTAACAGTTTTTTCTGACTGTGTGTTTCCTGCAGACGTCCAGCAGCTGGTGGTGGTTAAAGAAGAGCTTCTCCCTGATCAGCAGGAGTGGAGCACCAGTCTGGACCAGGAGGACCCAGAGCCCCTCCCACACATTAAGCAGGAACAGGAGGAACTCAGGATCAGTCAGGAGGGAGAGCAGCTTCAGGAGCTGGAGGAGGCTGATATCACCAAGTCCACTTTCACTCCTGACCCTGTGAAGAGTGAAGATGATAAAGAGAAACCCCAGTGCTCACAGCCTCATCAAAGACAAACTGAACACATGGAAACAGAAGCTGATGGAGATGACTGTCGAGGACCAGAACCAGCCAGGAACTCAGATCCAGAGAGCAGTTTACAACCAAAGACTGAGGACGACACTGGAGACTCTTCTGAACCTGACACTGAAGACAGTGCTGATTGGAAGGAGACCAGAGAACCTGCAACAGGCTCAAACTCACTGGAAAACAGACATGCATTTGTCAGTGATTCAAGTTGTAGTGCTGACAATAAACCATTGAGCTGCTCAGTCTATAAGAAAGCTTTTTTACGGAGTGGAAATTTAAGGACACGCATGAGAATCCACACAGGAGAGAAACAATTTAGCTGCTCAGTTTGTGAGAAAGCTTTTTCAAGGAATAGACATTTAAAGGAACACATGAGAATCCACACGGGAGAGAAACCATTTAGCTGCTCAGTTTGTGAGAAAGCTTTTTCAAAGAATATAAATTTAAAGGAACACATGAGAATCCACACAGGAGAGAAACCCTTTAGCTGCTTAGTTTGTACCAAATCTTTTTCACAGAATGGAAGTTTAAAAAAACACATGCGAATCCACACAGGAGAGAAAGCACACAGCTGCTCAGTCTGTAAGAAAGCTTTTTCACAGAGTGGAGGTTTAAAGGAACACATGAGAATCCACACAGGAGAGAAACCATACAGATGCTCAGTCTGTAAGAAAGCTTTTTCACGGAATAGAAATTTAAAGGAACACATGAGAGTCCACACAGGAGAGGAAATATACAGCTGCAATGTTTGTGACAAAACATTTAAATGGTGTAGTGATTTAAAAAGACACAAGTGTGTTGGTCGTCAGTCCTCACAGCTTAGTGAAATTCAAACTGAGGATAACGGAGAGGCAGAGCCTCCAATCAGCAGCTCAGCTGAACACATGGAAACATAAGCTGATGGAGAGGACAATGAATAAGTCTTATGACAGTTCACACATGAGAAAAATATGTCTGTGGATTAACATTGTTGCACAACTTTCATATAACACTTAAATGAACTCCATCTTTATCAACATAAGTGGACAATATGTTTTTGTCATACTGATTTTCTGATGTATACGTTAACCACTGACTGTTGATGAATCGTTTTATTTTGGATTGATGGCTTCAAGTTTCCATAGAGATAAAGGATGATTTGATGTAATATTTGTTTATTTCTAAATGTTTTGTATCATTGCTATTCTGTTAATGAGCCATGTTTTATATAAACGTACCTGTTATCTGATGTTTTTGCTTCTGTAACTGTAAGGGAATACATTTGTCTA